ATAAATCAAAAATAGACATATTCTTAAGATATATATAAAACTAAGAAATTTTGAGAGATTTCTAAAAAATTAATGAGATTAATATTATAAATTTTACAGGATCATAACATCGGAAATTTCTAAAAAAGAAAATTTTTGGGGGACTCTGCAAGAGAGAGAGAGAGAGAGAAGAGGAAATTCTGAAATCTTAGAAAAAGTTGAAGAACATTCTAGAAAATCCTAGAAGACTAGATTTAAAGAATTCTTAATTCACCAAATCTTGGATGATTTTTACATAGTTATATATCATTCAAGAATCGAGAAATTCCGCGTTAATTCTAGAACTTTCATAGATGTATTTGGCACGAAACGAAGCTACTTCGTTTCTTATTATTAAAAGAATATTTGGCAATCGTAGGAAGACTCAAGGAAGGAAGCTCTCGGGGAATCCTTGAAGGATTACGGAAGATTCCAAGAAATGTTATGACTCTCGGAAAAAATCACAAAAAAGTTGGAAAATCCTCGAATCCAAGAGAGTGTGACCACATAATGTTCCCCGTCCTTATTTCCGTTTACAACATGTCCTAAGTTAATAATAACCAGGAATAGGTGTATAATCTATCTATCTATCTATCTAGTAAAACAGCATCATATTAAAGTCTATCCTCCTCCTCCTCCTCATTATCCTCGTTATTCTCCTCGGACTCCTCCTTGTAGCCGGGATGCTCCGAAATCGCATAGTAGTTCCCGTTATAAATCACTCCGAGCTCCCGCAGAACATCGCCCCGGATGATCGCCTTGATCGTCCAATTGTAGCACTCTTCGCTCTCGCTTTCGCGATCCAATCGCTCGACGTCAAGGATCTTGGAGCTGAGTCGTTCTAGTATGATACCGATGTCCTTGATGCTAAGATGATGTTTCTGGTCAACCGTTAGCTGGTCGATCAAAAGCAGAAATTTCTCCGAGGTCACGATCTCGTCTTCCATTATCGTGTTCTCCGTCTCAGACTCGGAGCTGTCATGCTCTTGATGGTGATGATGATGATTATGATGCAGATGGAAACTGGTGGTGCCGATCAGACGCGAGGTCGACTCCTCGTCGGCGGTGTCGCGAAAGCGAACGTGACCTTTGCTAAGGCCGGGCCGCTTAGTGCCGTCCGACAGAGAGGATGGCGGCTGTGGCGATGGTGTCTGCGTCTGCGTTTGCTGTTGTTGCTGTTGATGCGGATGATGAGGATGTTGATACTGTGCATGCTGCGCATCCTGGATCGGCGACGTTGCCACCGACTTATGCACAGCGATTCTACGGCCCTCCTCGTGCAGGGCGCAGCAATGGAAGTCGCACTCGCCAACGGCGCCGCCGTCAGCACCGTTCACCGGGCTGCCGTTTCGCGCGACCGGTTGATGGATGTGATTTGAGCACTCCGGCGTGTGAATGTGGATGGTCGTGCTGTCGAACGAATTCGTGCCCTGTTTTACTAGGCGACCCGGCATGTGCGGCTGTGTTGGTTGCTGTTGTTGGGATGGAAATGAGTTTAATAATAATTGTTTAGTTCGTGTAAAATAAAAATTGCGAAAAAAGAGAGAGGAAAAGAGAGAAATAACGTAGTTAAAATCCAAAGATTTGATGATGCAACGATGCAACAGTGTGATATATCTAGTCCATTGTTTTAAAAAATTTGAAAAAAATTAACTTAGCAAATTAATAAATGTTGTATTGATTTCTTTAATTACAGATGAAACGGTCAGTCTAGTTGAGATCGAAAAATGCAATGGTTTTATTTTTTTTTTTTTTTTAATATCCGAGGTTTCATTTTGTCGGAATCTTAAGAAAATGAATTAGACTGTTCCACCACTAATCCCATTAATTGCAAATGATATAATAGTTTTAAGAAATCGCGAACTAGAAAAATAGTCGAGATAAAATCTGAAAAGGGAGAACGCTTGAATAAGACCATAATGTTTCAATACCATATCGTCATGATTTATCACAGTGATTCGCGGGCTGGTGTACCGCGTCGGGCCGATCTCACCGGGCAGATGCGTCGCCTTGCCGTCATAGCCGAGCTTGTCCAAGCTGGTCTGGATCACCAAGGACGGCCGTTGAGCGCCGCTCAGGTCGACTTTCTTAGTCGGCGAGTACTTGGAAGTCTGGGCATCCTGGCCTGCCTTCGATTGCTGCTGCTGTACCTGCGACGACGACGACGAGCGCTGGTCCCAGTGTAGCACCACTGTGACTCGGCCTTTATTGTCCATGATTTTCCACGATGGCGTCTCATCGTGCAACTCCAGCGCGTGGATCGTCTCGCAGACTATTTTCGGGATCGCCGAAATTGCTGGGAATACAGAAAAAGAACGAGTTGTTAGTTATTGGCGGATGCGAAAGCAAGGATACGGGTAGTGTTTGGTGCTGCAAGACGTGACAATCAGTGCCGATGATCCATCGCAAGAGTGCGAGATCCACAGATCTTAAGGGAGCTAAAGAATTTACAGATTTAAAAGTCTAAATAGAGGTTTCGGGTAGTATAAAGAAGATTGTAAAAGAATTCAAAACATCTAAAGAGAGCTTAAGAATAGAAAAAAACCTACTTGGTTGATCGTTTAAAGGCTTGTGTGTGTGTAAGGATTCAGTTTGATCCACGTGTAATTCAGTTTGATCAATTTTATCAGTTGCCTCGAAGTTAGTTTCCTCAACCAAGTTGCCGATTTCCATCAACCAAAGTTGATCGTTGTAATATCCCCTTTACATAGCAGCGCGTATGATTCTAAAGCAGCTATATATTCGAGGGTTCAAAAATCCAGAAAATCGAGACATTTGATAGTAGAAGGAAGAGCTACTTGGTTGATCGTTTAAAGGTCTGTGTAAGAAACCAATTTTTATTTGTAAATTAATTCAATGAGACTTTAATTTCTCTCTCAAATAATACACGTTTATAAAAAAAAAAAAACACCGTAACTTCCTGATATTTCGCAATCTTTTATATTCTTCAGAGACATTATCGTTTTCTTTAGACATCCTTTCGAATTTTCTGTCGTCCGTGTTGCTTCAACCTTAAATCCCTCAACCAAGCTGCCGATTTCCCCTAAGATCAATGGCGTGCAATGGGCCTTTTCACCTACCAGCGCGAATGATGTCGACGCCAGTGGGACACCAGCGTTCACCATGCCGCAGCAAGAGCAGGATCGTGTTGTTGCCTAGTGTCTTGAAGTACTCGCCGTCCTCGACTTGCGTGCCGTCCGACTCCAAAACTAGCGAGACATTCTCGTTTTGTGGCACGCCCAGTTTTTCCTTACCTGAAACCAAGGATTGGCCGAGTGTCAGATGACGTTTAGCATTGCGATAACGCTTCAACATCAGCGTGTACGGATGTGTGCATGTTCATGTGCGTTACGTATTCGTGTCTGTTCAGATAAGTGTGCGTATGCCACGTGTCGTTTGTACCGTGTAATCGTGTGAATGGCGTAGTTGCGAATAATAGTGGTGTGTCCTCGAACGAACGAACGGCGCTTTGTCTCTGAGAAATGTTGCGAGAAATGTGTGTTGCGGGAGCGACATTTTCAAAGGAACTTTGCAGATAATGCAATTCCGCGCTGCGATACGCCGCGCGGAAATATTTCCGAACGGAAATATTTCTTCGCCACCGGACATGTAAAAAATGTACCTCGAAAAGATGACGCCTGATGCTCGGCAGAAATTATCCTGAACAAGACATGTATTGATTTTTCATAAAAAATGAATCTGGTATCTGATTCTTTCTCATGTGATCTTGACGTCTTTTTCCTAATAATCTTTTTATGAGAGAATGTCCAGTATAAAAAAAGCGATACCTTGTAACGAGTGATCTAATATTTAAGTATCGTGAAAGAAATAAGAGTTACATACGATACGTTGCTGTTAATTTGAAATATTACGAAACAATAGACGGATAATAAATTACTTAATTATTTGAAAAGTATTTGTTCTGATAAATATGATATTTTGGAAACGTGATTTTAAATAAAATACCTCAATAGCTTAATATCTAAGTTGTGTTATCAACGTAGTTCGATTTTTAATCGTTTAATATTAAGTTTAACGAAGCTAATCTTTTAGATCTTAACATATTCCTCACCCCGGACAATCAATTCTTCAAAATTGCTAACGACCAGCCCTTTTCTTACGTTACGCCAGCTGTCCCATATCTTAAAAGGTCTCTTGGTCCGTAACTCCTGCAAAAATTAAATAAGACACAATTACCTTTTTTTTTAAATAATATTAATATCATTATTTACAACTATTAAATATAAAATATTTAAACAAAATACGGCAAACAAAAAAAAATAAATTATTAAATTATAGTTTGTGTAATCAAAAAAATATGGAATAGGAATTTATAAAATATTAGATATAGATAGTTCGCGAAGTAAAAATTAAATATCAAGAAATGAAGAGACACGGTGAAAAATCTATGGTGAAAAAGATTCCATGATTTTATTCTGGTGGAAAGGGCATGACATCTGGCATTGATTAATTTTAATATAGTGAAAAAATAATGGTGTGTACTGGACTTTAACGCACGATAAAGTTAAAAATGGTTGACATTTGCAATTTATTATTGACCTTAAATGTTCTCCGGAAGTTCATGCGAGTTGAAACGCTTTTTAAAAATAAAAATATATAACATTAGAAAAAGGGTAAAATAACAGAT